CTGTTCGTACTCTGCGCGCTAGTGGTCGCGGGTCGCGTCAGCGTCCTCCTCCTGTCCCTGGCACGCACCGGATGTCACTGCGTCCGTCCAATGCTCCTCTGCGTGCCCCTTTGCCTTCTCCTCCTGCTTCCTCTCTTCCTGCTCTTGCCGACCCGGAGTCGGACTCTCTTCGTACTGCCAGTCCTACTGTCACGCGTCTCCTTGCTACTGCTGTCACTGACCCTTCCTTCGAGTCGTCTGCTGCGTCTGCCCTCGTCACTGACCTTGTCGACTTTGCTGCGCGCTGTCGTCTAGACTACGCTGCCAGTCTTGTCGCTGAGTCTGAGTCTGCCTATCCTCCGTCCGTCAGGGGTGAGTGTGCCCTTGGCACGGACGTCCTTGAGGACAGACAGGAGGAGTTCCAGTGTCTGGCCGCCGCTTCAACTCATCTCGCGTCTGTACTGCTAGCCCCTGAGGGAGACCCGGATGCACCAGACATCCCGACTCCGCGCTCTTACGCGGAGGCGATAGAGGGTCCCTACTCCTCTCAGTGGCAGGCAGCTATGGATGCAGAGATGGCTTCCTGGAAGTCCACAGGCACCTACGTTGACGCTGTTCCCCCTCCTGGGGCGAACATAGTCAGTGGCATGTGGATTTTCAGGGTGAAGCGGCCGCCGGGTTCTCCGCCTGTCTTCAAGGTGCGTTACGTGGCTCGTGGCTTCAGTTAGCGACAGGGGGTTGACTACTTTCAGACCTTCTCCCCCACCCCGAAGATGACCACTCTTCGGGTTCTACTGCACGTTGCTGCTCACCGTGACTACGAGCTCCACTCTCTCGACTTCAGCACCGCTTTCTTGCAGGGCAGCCTGCACGAGGAGATCTGGCAGCGTCGCCCACCTGGCTTCACTGGGTCTTTCCCTCCTGGTACCCAGTGGAGTCTCCGGCGTCCAGTCTATGGTCTCCGCCAGGCGCCACGTGAGTGGCACGACACACTGAGGACTACGCTCGCGGCACTTGGGTTTGCTCCTTCTACTGCCGACCCGTCGCTGTTTCTGCGCACCAACACCTCGCTGCCGCCGTTCTACATCCTCGTGTACGTCGACGACTTGGTCTTTGCCACAGCTGACACTGCTGGACTCGCCCACGTGAAGTCCGAGCTGCAGAAGAGACACACGTGCACTGACCTGGGTGAACTGCGTAGCTACCTTGGCTTGCAGATCACCCGGGACAGAGCACGCCGCACCATTACCCTGACTCAGTCACACATGGTGCAGCAGGTCCTTCAGCGCTTCGGCTTCACGTACTCCTCGCCTCAGGCCACTCCTCTGCCTACTCGCCACTCGCTCTCAGCTCTGCCTTCGGATGAGTCCGTGGAGTCGAGTGGCCCGTTTGCAGAGCTTGTTGGCTGCCTCATGTACCTGATGACCTGCACACGACCTGACCTTGCATACCCTCTTAGCATTCTCGCACGCTATGTTGCTCCTAGGAGACACCGACCAGAGCACATGGCTGCAGCGAAGAGGGTGTTGCGCTACTTGTGCAGTACGTCGGGCATGGGGCTAGTGCTTGGAGGGCGCAGTCCATTGGTCCTCACTGGGCACACAGACGCTTCTTGGGCTGACGTCCAGGCTACGCAGCGGTCGTCACAGGGTTACACCTTCAGCCTTGGTTCCGGCTCTGTTTCGTGGCGGGCTACCCGCTCGTCTTCTGTTCTCGGCTCCAGTTGTGAGGCTGAGATCTACGCCGGGGCCATGGCTACACAGGAGCTTCGCTGGCTCACGTACCTGCTGACCGACCTTGGAGAGCAGCCTCGTTCTCCTCCAGTCCTGTACGTAGACAACAAGGCCATGCTGGCCTTGTGTCGAGAGCAGCGACTGGAGCACAGAACGAAGCACATTGCTCTCCGCTACTTTCTTGCTCGTGAGCTACAGCAGCGTGGACAGTTGCGACTTGCGTACGTGGCCTCTGAGGCCAACACTGCTGATGTCTTCACCAAGGCACTTGCGCCTTGTGATCATCAGCGTTGTTGCACGCAGTTGGGTCTTGTGCCTGTCTTGCCTCACTTGCTCTCCTCTTGACTTTGCTTGTACCTTCGCCTATATATACTCTTGCTCTTGCTTACTTGACTCTTGTATATCTCTATATATGATCTTGCATGTGAACTGGCCTTCTGGCCTTTGAACTTGTGCTCGGAATACGTGGTGACTTTGTGATCCACCCTGAGCTTTGCTTTGCTTTGCTTGACTTGTCTTGTGACCCCTTGTTCTCCCCCACTTTGCCTATGGGGGTGTGTCAGAACATATAGCTTACTTGTTTGTGTAGGCTATAGTGGGGTATCCCATAGGGGGTACAACCCAAATTAGGGTTTCCTATTTGTACTCACTTCGTTCATAGTCATTTCAATCTCGTTCATATTTTCTCAGTAGCCAGTGCGCGATCACATATTGTCGGAAACGCCGGCGTGGTCAGCATCCACATAACTGATTAGCTTGGGCATTGTAGTTCAGCTTTTGTGGTAGGTTAGGCTGATTGTCAGGGTGCTGACGAGGTAGTGAAGAGAGCGGTCGAGTACGGCCATGTGGTCTGCTTCTGGCCTTTTGAGGTAGGTGGCGAGTTGGCTAGCTGAGTAAGATAGGTCCGGTCGGCAAGTGACTGCTGCGAAGAGTAGACAGCTTGGCTTTCGTTTGTAGTCGCGAATTCCAGCGGGTTTGAGCAGAGCGGAGGCTTCCTTGCGATTTCCATCGGTGTAGCAATATCGCGTGGTGATGGTAGCTGGAATTAGTCCGAAGCGTTTGGTGATGGTGTTGGCATATTTTGTGGCGCTGAGGTAAATCGCGTTCTCCCCTTCTTGTATGTTAATTCCCGGATACTGTGTCACGGTAGACGAGATGGTAAGCGTGAGATCCCGCTGCAGCTCCCCTTCGAACCAAGTCGTGATGTCGTCAGTTGAGCCGATGTAGAGTAGGTCGTCTACGTAAACGATGAGCAGGATGTAGTCGGTTCCTTTAATGAGTCCGTACATTCCTTGGTCATACGGTAGTTGGCGGAATCCGATGCGAATTAGTCGGGCATGAAGATGCTGCTGCCACAGCCTCGGGGCTTGCTTGATGCCGTACAGTGATTTCAGCAGCTGTCAGACTTGATTGGGGTCTGCGCTAGAGCCGTGTGGTTGTTCGACGAAAATCTCAGCGGCGATGGGAGCGTACAGAAAGGCATTGGCGACGTCGATTTGGCAACGCTTCATGGCGACTATCGCGAGGAGAATCCGTAGTGAGGTGTATCAGCTAACTGGCGCGAAGGTTTCGGTGAAGTCGCGTCCATGCTCTTGATCGAAGCCGCGTACGACCCAACGTGCTTTGAACTTGTTGATGGTTCCGTCGGCTTCCGTTTTCACGCGGAAGACCCATTTTCCGGTGAGAACAGTTTTGTTGCGTGCCACTCAGATGGGGACGATTTTCCAGGTGTTGCGGTCTTCCAGCGCTTTTAACTATGTGTCCATGGCTTCGCGCCATTTTTCCCTGTGCTCCCCCCCCAGAGCCTGCTGAACTGTGGCAAGCTCCTTAGGTGGTGCTGCTCCATGGACGGCGGTGACGAGTCCTAGTATCTGCAGCCCACTCTGTGTGTAGCGGGGAAGGTTTGTGTCCTCGGGATAAGCTGCTTCATCTCCCACTTCTCGATCAGGTAGGAAATTGGGCCCTATGCGTTTAGAGACATTGGTGTCGACCGATTAGGGTGTAATGTAACCGTTGTTGGCGAAGTCGTATTAGACTTTGGCGTTGATACTTTTGCGAGGGTTGTCGTCGTCCATGGGAATGTCCACTTAGCAGTACGGAAGAGGTCCGGCTACCTCCGAAGCTCCGTCCACGTTCTGCTCCTCCCAGCCAACTTCATCTGCTGTCGAAGCGAAGGCTCGGTTGCCTTAAAATCCGCCCGCGACATCTCATTCTGCTTCCACGTTGTCCAAGTACGTCTGAAGTGTTCTGCTTAACTCCTATGCAGCCATGGCCACTGCATAGATCTCAGCCTCACAACTAGAGCTGAGAAGCGAAGACGAGCGGGTAGAGCGCCACGAAACAGAACCGGAGCCAAGGCTGAAAGTGTAACCCTGTGACAACCGCTGTGTAGCCAAGTCGTCAACCCAAGAAGCGTCTGCGTGACCAGTGAGGACAACTGGACCCCGTCCTCCAAGCACGAGCCCCATGCCCGACGTACTGCACAAGTAGCGCATCACCCTCTTAGCAGCCTTCCAGTGCTCTGGTCGGTGTCTCCTGGGCGCAACGTAACGTGCCAGGATGCTAAGAGGGTAAGCAAGGTCAGGTCGAGTGCAGGTCATCAGGTACATGATGCAGCCCACAAGCTCTGGATACGGGCCACTCGGCTCTACGGACTCATCCAAAGGCAGAGCTGAGAGCGAGTGGCTGGTAGGCAGAGGAGTGGACTGTGGCGAGGAGTACTGGAAGTCGAAGCGCTGAAGGACCTGCTGCACCATGTGTGACAAATTCAAGGTAATGGTGCACCGTGCTCTGTCCCAGGTGATCTGCAAGCCAAGGTAGCTGCGCAGTTCACCCAGGTCTATGCACGTGTGTCTCTTCTGCAGCTCCGACTTCACGTGGGCCAGTCCAGCAGTGCCAGCAGTGGCAAAGACCAAGTCGTCGACGTACACGGAGATGTAGAACGGCGGCAGCAAAGTGTCGGAGCGGAGAAACAGCGACGCGTCAGCAGTAGAAGGTGCAAACCCAAGAGCTGCAAGAGTCGTTCTCAGTGTGTCGTGCCACTCGCGAGGCGCCTGGCGGAGACCGTAGACTGGCCGCTGGAGGCTCCACTGGGTACCAAGAGGGAACGACCCAGTGACGCCACTTGGGCGGCGCAGCCAGATCTCCTCGTGCAAGCTGCCCTGTAGGAAAGCAGTGCTGAAGTTTAGAGAGTGAAGCTCGTAGTGACGCTGAGCGGCGACGTGCAACAGCACCCGAAGAGTGGTCATCATCGGGGTAGGGGAGAAGGTCAGGAAGAGCTCCCTGTCGCTAACTGAAGCCTCGTGCAACGTAACGCGCCTTGAAGACAGGCGGAGAACCCGGCGGCCGCTTCACCGTGAAAAACCACATGCCACTGACGATGTTCGCCCCAGGTGGGGGAACCTCGTCGACGTAAGTGCCTGTGGACTTCCAGGATGCCATCTCTGCGTCCATGGCTGACTGCCACTGAGAGGAGTAGGGACGTTCTATCGCCTCTGCGTAAGAGTGCGGGGTCAGGATGTCTGGTGCATCCGGGTCTCCCTCAGGTGCAATCAGCATGGACACGAGATGAGGTACAGCAGCTGCAAAGCACTCAAAGTCGTCCTGCCTATCCTCAAGGACGTCCGTGCCAAGAGCACACTCACCCCTGACGGTCGGAGGACAGATAGACTAAGACTCAGCAACAAGGCTAGCGGTGTAGTCTAGACGACAGCGAGCAGCAAAGTCGACAAGCTCAGTAACTAAGGCAGACGCAGCGGTGGACTCAAAGGAAGGGTCAGTGACAACAGTGGCCAGGAGACGCGTGAAAGTAGGACTAGCAGCACGAAGGGAGTCAGACTCCGCGTCCGGACCGTCAGCAAGGGAAGACGCAGGAGGAGACGGCAGAGGGACACGCAGTGGAATAGAGGAAGGACGGAGTGCCATCTGGTGCGTGCCGGGGACAGGAGGAGGACGTGGACGCGGAACACGACGACCAGTGCGACCAGCGCAAACCGGCGACGCTCAGTAAAACCTCCAGGCTGCTCAGTGTAAGGAGAAGGAGCATGCACCGGAGAGGCTGGCAGTAGCTGTGGCTGAGACTGGTCAGGCGGTGGACAGAGGAAGGGAGGAGCAAGGTCAGCAGAAGGCGGGAGACCAAGAACCTACTAAAGGAGTGGAACGAAGTATGGTCGCGGTCGCACAGCACTTCCAGCACCAGCAGTGACAGCACCCGTACCTCCACCAGCTCCAGCTCCAGCAGCAACTCAAGCTCCAGCTCTAGAAGCACCTTCAGCTCCAGCTGCTCCAGTATTTCAAGCAGCTCCAGCTCTAGCTCCAGCAGCACCAGCACCTCCAGCAGCTTCAGTAGTACCTCCAGCCCTAGCAGCTCTAGTACGAGCACCTCTGGGACTAGCGGCTCCAGCACCTCTAGCAGCTCCAGCTCCAGCACCACCACTCCGGAGGCTCTAGCGCCGAGCAAACCACCCGAAGGGCCTCCAAGCTCAGCACATCTCTAGTGGAGAGAGAGACTCCGGCCGCGTCAAGACACCCGAAGGGCCTCCAAGCTCAGCACACTCGGGCTCAACACCCCCAGGCTCAGCACCTCCACGCTCCGCACGCTCAGGCTCAGCACCTCCAGGCTCCACACCCGCAGGCTCAGCACCCCCAGGCTCGGCACTCTCTGACTTAGCACCCCCAGGCTAAGCACCCCCAAGCTTTGCATCCCCAGGCTCCTCACGCTCAAGCTCAGCACCCCCAGGCCCCGCACCCGCAGGCTCAGCACCCCCAGACGCACCACCTCTAGCAGCACCAGAGTCGACAGCTTCCTCGACAAGCTCGACAGGGTCTACCTGGGAAACACCTGAGGGAGCAGGACCCTGAGGGGGGAGGGGGTCTACCGGGGGGGGACCTGGTGCTAGGAAGAGCGACCGAGGAGGGAGAGAGGCAGTGTGGTAGGGGAAGAGACGGAAAAAAGGGAACCGACTCGTCAAACGTGACGTCCTGAGAGGACAGGACACGGGGAGAGGTGGGGTGGTAAAACTGCCAGCCAGGCGCGTCAGGGACGAAGCCAAGGAAGACACTGGGAACGGCGCGTGAGGAGAGCTTGTCCGCGGACGTATCGCGGACAAAGGCTCGACATCCCCAGACCCGGAACAACGACGCATCGCCAACCTTTCCCGTCCAACGGAGTGTGGGCGAGGTCTCCGGCAAGGAGACACGGGGCTAGAGGCTGTGCTGATGCGCAGCGTACTGGACTGCAAACGGCCACAGAAAATGGGGGGCAGCCGCATGGATCATGGAGGTACGAGCGACCTCCATGACTAAGCCAATGCGGTGCTCAGCAACTCGATTCTGCTGCGGAGAGGCCGGAAGCGTGAACGTTTGGCGAATGCCCTACGCACGACAAAAGGCCTGCAAGAGGTCGGAGGAAAACTCACCACATCTGTCAGAGTGCAGACGCGGGACTGGAAGGTCCATCTCAAACCGCTCGCAGAGCTGGAGACGAACACCGCGGATCCAAGGGATCGAAACATCAGGGACCTCCCCGTTGCGGCGCAAGGGGAAGACCGTGGTGTAACGCGAGTAGTCGTTGACAACTAGCAGAAAGTACCACTCGTGGCCCTGTCCACGGACGCGGGCCGGGCCCCACACCTCCAGGTGGAGTGTCTGCAGGGGAGCCTCTGTCGGGGGGAACGAGGAGGAGTGAGGAGCGGCGCGCTGCCGCTCCTCGACACAGGGAAGGCAGGGAGGGGCAGGCGGTGGGAGGGGAGGCAGAGACTTGGGAAGACCAGAGACAAGGAGTCGGGAGTGCATGCCACGGAGGCGTGCCACAAGGGGGTGACCAAGACGGTGGTGCCAGAGGAGCGTTTGGTGCGACAAGGCGCGACACGAGCAGGGGGCATGCAAGCTGACCTGACACAGACGCAGACGCAGCTACCTTAGTGTTGTGCCAACACATTACAGTGGTGTTGGTGCAACCCTACGGTTTGCACTCGGCTTGTTGTCCGTGTGCGTGTGCATGCATGCGTGTGAGCATGGAGTGGTATGAGTGCATGAAATAAATATATATTTCATGCTTATAATAGTGTGTGCGTGCTGGGTCATGATGTCGATTGTGAGTGTCAAGTCAATAGCGAGTTATCGCTATTCGCGTGTTACACGGTCATTTTGTGTGTCCCGCGCGGTTTCTATTTTGTCATGCGCGGTTTCTATTTTGTCCTGTGTCGAACGTTAGGCGTGTCACAGGTGTGTGCCAGTAGTCTTATCAAGAACTCAAGGATGAGTTTTGTGATGAAGAACCGGAGCCTTGGTTCAAGCTTCAAGTGATTTGCAAGCTCGCCAAAAGGGTACACCTCAAGATATCAAGATTCGTTACATTACAATGTGTAGTGTAACATTTCTATGGGTGTAGGCCCTTGTGGAGGGTAGTCTCGAGACCCTTCTTGGTTGGGGACAGTGTGGCACTGTTCCACATCACTGTACCTCGGCTCTTGGTGTTTGTAGGAGCTGGGAGTCATTCCTAACTCGTAACTCTTCCTAGCTCTTCCTAGTGTGTGTTGTAAGACTATGATGCTGCCATAGTGCCGTTCGTTCAAACCGACGCTGTGTCCTCAATGCTTGGTAAACTCGTGGGATCTAAAATGCCTATTGTAGGAGACGTTGAGACGCTCTAGATACAAGTTGAATCAGGTCATTTGGAGTTGTGAGCAGATCGCTATGAACGTTTAGAGCCGCTGTGCAGAAATCCGACTAAGCACTCTATCTTTCGTTTTAGGCACATTGGAGCCTACTGTGTCTATAACAAGTGCTATCAGAGCCCCTTGGAGCAGCTACGACAATGGCTGGACCTGAGGAAAGGGGTGGCAGAGGTGCTGGAGGCAATGGAGAAGCCCAAGCACAAGGCCAAGCCCGTGATTCAGCCGTGGCGCCTGTGCAACCTACTCTTGGACCTTCTAGGGATGAACCAAGAGTGTTCGGGCTTGACAAGTTCAACGGCGACAACTTTGCTGAATGGTCCTTCAGAATGGAGAATGTGTTCGACCATTATGACCTACTGGAGGTGATGGAAGGAACGGAGAAGCGTCCCGAGAACGACCCGGAGAAGAGCCCGTGGGTGCGGAAGAGCGCACAAGGCTACCTCCTACTTGGGCAAGCGTTGGGGAGCAACCAGATCCGTCACATCAAGCCTTTCCAGCGTGAACCAGAGAAAAGACCAAAGGCATGGGCTGCTCTCAAGGGTGTACACACTCCTGCAACTGCGGCGGTAGCTGTGGTGTTGGAACGGCAAATGGCGACGCTACGAATTGAGGAAGACGAACCCGTGGAAGAAGGGGTGCAGAAATACTTTGACTTGCTGACGCGGTTTGAGGGAGCTGATTTGAACTACAATGAGCTCCAAAAGAAGACCAAGTTGCTGGCCCTGCTCCCAGAGTCGTGGTCCTCGCTCATCATCAACCTCAACCGTGATCTGCCCCGTCTCTCGCTTGAAGACGTGAAGCGCGCGATCCTACAAGAGGACTTCCGCCGCCGTGACTTGGCGAGTGCGGTTGGCGCCCGGGCAGCAAGCATCAGCCGGGGTTATGGCCGAGGAAGAGGCAGAGCACGAGGGGGAGGAAGATCTGGTGGCGGCAACTTCGGTGGAGGTCGCGGGAATGGCGGATACGGCAGCGACGACAAGAGCTACGGTCGCGGTCGCGGACGATTTGACGGCGAATGTCACTATTGCGGCAAGAGCGGACATATGTGGCGCGATTGCTTCAAACTCCCTGATGGTTGGACCCCTGCTCAAGGCCAAGAGGGTAGAGGAGCAGGAGGAGGGAGAGGAAGAGGCCGTGGAGGCCGTGGCGGTCGCGGAGGTGGAGCCGCGAACATGAAGAGTGGAGATAATGACAAGGACCCGAGCGACGATCGGTACCCGGGTCTATTCTACTTCATCTCGACGCAAGTACCAGCTGGTCCAGAGAAGGATGATGGCTTTGAGGAGCCAACAGCTGTGGGGAAGGTGACCCTACACCCCCTGGACTATTGGGTGATTGACAGCGGCGCTACCTATAGCATGACACCTCGCCCCGACTTGCTCACCGAACTCGAACTGTCACCGGTGAAGCATGTCACATCGGCTTTGGGGCAGCGAGCAGAGGTGAAAGGCATGGGCAAGGCCATGTTCAAGGGTGCTGATGGGAAGATGGTGGGCCTCAAGAACGTGCTTTGGGTGCCCAGCCTTGCTGCGAACCTGATTTCCGTGCGGCGGTTGGCAAAGGCCGGCATGGACACGAACTCGAAGGGAGCCAAGACCTACACCACAAGGCTTGGCGAGCGGATCCTATGGGACCTCCATGAGGACAGGGATGTCTACAACGAGATGTGGCAGATCCCTGTGGTCCCTATGCCTAAGGAGAGGCAAGTGGCAGCAAGTGTCAGCACCAAGAGTGAAGCGGTTGGTAGCGGCGATGGCGTGAACGGTCGCGCTAAGGAGAATGAGCTCAAGAAGAGCAAACCTGGAGAGACCAGCAAGCTATGTGACCCTAAGGAGAGTGGTGCAGCAGCCAAGAAGCGGCACAAGGGTGAGGAGAACCCCGAGGCAGCAGCGGAGGAGGAGTACGGAGAGAGCATGTGGGGCGCTATTGCGAGCGCGGCATTCTCCAATCCGACTTCGGCTACGAGGGAGTGTGATCGGCTCACCTTGCATCGGCGCATGGGGCATGTGGCCCTGCCTATTTTGCAGCAGCTAGTGAAGAACGAGATGGTTGCTGGCATGCGTGTGAAGGGGGAGCCCGATGAGGTGCATGGCTGCCCAACATGCTTGCAAGCCAAGTTCACCCGGTTTCCGTTCTCGAGCTCCGAGGCAACGGCTAAGGCACCACTTGATGAGGTGGTGATGGACGTGGTGGGCCCCCAGAGTACTTCCTCACCATTGTGGACGTCTACACCAGTATGACTTGGGTGTACGTGCTGGCCAAGAAGAGCGACGTGGCTGAAACGTTGAAGACGGATTGGTTTCCGATGGTGGAGCGGCAACAAGACCGTCTAGTCAAGTCAATCCGCACCGATCGAGGGGGAGAGTTCCTGAGCAAGGAGTTTGGGTTGTGGCTGAAGAAGAATGGTATTCGGCACTCCCTCACCATGCCATACTCCCCTGCAATGAACGGCATCGCCGAGCGAGCGAACCGCACAATCACTGAGGCGGCACGCGGGTTGCTCATTGAAGCCGGGCTACCCGACTATTTCTGGCCTGATGCGGTGCGGAGCGCATGTGTGGCCAAGAACAGAGTCTTGACTCATGTGGGAGCAGACAAATGGGTGCCCTATGTGGAGTGGCTTAGAAGGAAGCCAAAGGTGGATATGCTTCGGGTGTTCGGGTGCATGTGCATGGCGCTCGTGCCTAAGCATCTTCGACACAACAAGCTTTGTGCCAAGGCGGTGTGGGCCGTGCACTTGGGCATGGCTCAAAACAGCAAGGGATGGCTTCTTTGGGACCCATTCACCAAGAAGTTCTTGGTGAGCAGGGACTGCAAGTTCATGGAGAACTTCATGTACAAGGATTGGAAGGCGGAGAATGAGGCGAAGATAGGCGTGCGGTTTGGGGAGGTGAAGAGTTCCGGCTTGGAGCATGTGGAGCTGCCTTTGGAGCTGAGCAGCGGCACCGCCACTTCCTTCCCGCACTACGAGTGCTCCACGGATTCGACCCACACCGCAGCAACGCCAAGGACTTCAAGTCCCTGCAGCTGAGGAGGAAGGGGGAAGAGGAGGAAGTTATGGCTCGGAAAGCGTTTGCCTAGCGTTGGAGTGCTAGCGTACTAGCGTTGACTCGGGTAGCATTCCGCTGTCGCACCGCGTAGAGAGGAAATTCCAGCAAGGGAGGAATTCACTTGAATCGATTTTACTATATTCAGGTACAAACAGAGAAGGAATAAATAGCTCTAGCTAGCAAGGACCTTGGGAATCAACCTGGGAACAACCAGGGATGATCCCAAATAATTCCAAGCAACAGAACCAACCTGGCTGGACAAAATAGCAGGTGGTAGGTTGGTGAACAACCTCTGGTTCTGTTTTTCCAACCTGGGAAAACAACAACCAGGTTCAGGTCCTAAAAACAGAACCTGTTTTGTCTTTGCCCAACCAGCCAAATGCTGGTTCCGCTGGTTTCCCCTGGCCCTGTAGCATGCAGATACAGACAAACAACATCCAACCTTCACCTAAATTGTACCCCTATAGTGCCTGCCCTGCTACACTATAGTCAACCAAACAAAACAGTACAATTTCGAGTTGGATAGAAATGAATCTGCGCAATCATGTAAGTTGAACCGCAAAGCTTCCATCTTGGGTTCCTTTGCGAGCTCGTCCTTTCTGCTTGTACTGTTCATAGCGCGTACAATGTTATGCCGAAGCGCACATTGTGCGAGTACCTGCAAATGCTTCAAGCGAAAATTGCGAAAGCAAACAAACACACGAACATACCATTCACACGCAAATGCATTCGCACACGCATACTCGTACAAACAGACGGCAGGATGTCGTGCAATGTGAATTTGCACCCAACACACTCCCCCTCAGCCTGCCGGCTGCATCCCCATCATTCCATACTAGATCATGCTCATTCCACTCATGCGCACACAACGCCAATGAGGCTCATCCGCAAGCCTCTTTGTGAGGAAGTCTGGTGGTTGCTGGTGAGTCTTGATGTAGATCGGATTCACCGTCCCCCTCTTCACCTCCTTACGCAGCCAGTGCCACTTGATACGCATGTGCTTGTTTAGACCATGAAGCACAGCATTCCTGGCCATCCCAAGAGCTCCCTTGCTATCACAAAACAG